GGAACCGAAATGGTCATATCCACCGTATCAATGTCCCACCCGAGCACACACAACCTTGTACGCCACGAGGAAAGTTTACGCGCAGACAACAAAGGAGGGTCCCTTGACCCCGGCGCCCGATGCACACGATGCGGAAGCTACTTTACACCGGTCCCCAGTCGGGCTCCACATCACTTCCACCAGAATACCATCGTCGACATAGAACCGCACGGAAAACGAGTCAGAGCGACCGCCCCCCGAACCGGGGGGGATGCGACACCCAGGGGGGAATGGGGGTGTCGTCTCACGTTCGCTCGGTAACGGAACCTCAACGTGGTTCGTAGCCGTCCGGCCAAGCTCAGTGACTACTGCATTCGCTTCAGACGTATGATTGTGAGAGTGCTCCAACGCTGCAGTCATGACACAAAAATTGCCAGGTGAATTGCGCCACCCAAACACCAAGCGCCGATCTACCACGACAAGGTCCCCAACTGAGTAGCCAAACACGGGAGCTCCCGACCATTGAACCGCAACCTGTCGAAATGCGTCCGTCACGTCTATTTTGCTTAACACAATCCGGGCCGATGGTCCGTACGTCCTCCGCAACCAAAGAATGCGCCACACGATGTCCCGCAACACGTGACCTAACTCGACTTTCGGCGCCGCCTCTGAATCCGTGTCGGCATTGACACTACGCGACACGGGTGAGCATTCAAACGTCAAGTCATGGATAATCCGAATTTTCTCAGGCGACACGACGACACCTAGCGGAGAAAGCCGCAACCCCGGTATCGAGTCTGCCTCTGTCTTTGGAAACACGAACGCCCGCCCAAACCGCACGTCATCAAACACTTTCCGTAAAATAGTGTCAGAATATGGGACGACACTACGGTGGTTACCATACGATAGCGCTGCTGCGATTTCGGCAGATCCACACACGGGCACTATGGCGCCACGTTCCACGATATCAGCGACCGTCTCTGTGTGAGGAAAACCCTTCAAGCGTCCAAACCAAAACCGAATAAATTCAGGCCGTACCCGCGGCACCCCGATGCCGTTTTCGATGGCTTTCATGCATTCAAAATTTCCCCCATGCTGAGACAAAAACCGAAAACACTTCACCGCGATCTGAGCAAGTACGGTTGCACGTGGTGTACCTTGGGCGACGGTCTGAGACATAGCATGTACCATGGAAACAATACGCCTAACATCATTGCCATCTTAATTACCAACCCCACCTCGAGTCAACGCAGTAGCCGCCCCTGGTCGTATGAGGTGTGTGCTCGGACCCGAGACCACACCCCCCGCGACATCGAAAGACGGCCCTCCCCCCCCCGGGGGGCAGGGCCCGCGCCCCTATTCCTCATCGCTGTCCTCCGCGCCGCCGCCGGCACCGCCCTTCGCACTGCTGCGAGTCTTCGTCCCAGCCGTTCCATCTTGGCCCGCTTCGCTGGTGCGGCGGCGGCAGGAGCGTTGGTGTCCGCGACGGTGGAGGGGCTACCTTTGGAGCCACCATCCTGGGCCCCGCCGCCAGTCATGCCCCCCCGTTTTCCTCCCTTTTTGCCGGCCTTCCGCGGCGCCACATGCGCGACTTGCAGTCTTTCCCCCACCGACATGTACCGTGTTTCTGGAACTGGTAGCACGGCCCCGGGTCCCTGGCGTTGCTGCCCTTCCCCCCGGCATCCGCTGCGGCGGCCGATGAACGGCCCTTGCCTTGCACAGCAGAATTGATCAGCCCTCCCGACCGGAGATACGCCGCCAGGTTTGGGAAAACCGGGAGGGGGCGG